ATTGCAGTGAATTCCGTCAGGAAGATGGATCGTCAACAGATCATCGGTCTATTCAGGGAGTTGATCAAGTATCTGCGACACAGGGTTGGCAGGCCTGCCAATCCGGACGATGATCGTGGAGTGGCTGCAACGACATAATGGAACACCTCAATGATGATCAATCCAAGACTCCAAGACTGCTGAGGGGGTGGCGGCAATTTGCGTGGAGATGCTTCGGGAAGAGGTCCGACGACGCTCAACACCCAGGTATTCGAATGTCTGTTGGAGGGTGGAGCCCAAGGACCGAGAGCGATTTGGAAAGAAGTTCAGGCTGAACAAGACGGAGCTTGACTGGGTCTTCAATTCATGTTACGGAGTGTATGCTCCAATCGCGGTATGCGCGACGTACAATCAGACCCCGTTCATCTACCAGAACGCGGCCAAACACCTGTGGCCGATTGATGAAGGTTTTGCGGAATACGCAAAGGGATGTTATTATGTCATCCACGTCGGTGAGCTGGAGGATGCGATGAGGTACAGCCTTAAAACCATCGGCCCCGACGGGCGTATCGACAACGTTCTGGGAGCCAAACAATTCCGCGGTCATTCGTTCCTCATGAGACTGTTCGTGCCAATCAAGTCGTTGACTGCGCACGGAGCGTATGCGACCCAGACCGGTGCGATTGTTACCAAGACCAAAGTTCCTCGAGGTTGTGATGCTTCCGTCCTTTGTCCGGGAGATTCCGTTGGCGTGTAACCGGTTCACGGACACCCGCGGACATGCAGAGATGGACGGATGTGGTCGCACTCTTTGCAGAATCTTCGGAGTGTACCCCGGCCAAGCTCAAGGATGTCCAGGAGCTGCAAATGGCTGCTGCTTACGCTGCCGGAGACAGAGACAGAGGAGGGTAACAAGAAGTATGAGCAGGCGATGACCAATCATGACCAGTCTCAGAAACTACATCATCCTCAACAAAGCGCCAGAAGAGCGGTGGTATGGCTGGCAGGTGAGGTGTCCCTCCTGCTTGCACAGTACACCGAGCGCTTTCACCTATTGCCTCATGTGCGATGGCTATTTCATTTCTCACGGAGTGATTCACTTCTCTGTTCCGGAGAGCACGCGACAAAACGTGTCCGCCCAGGAGGCAGCAGAAGAGGTGGATGTTGACGATTTGGGTGGAGACACGGAATGGACTCAACGCTGAAGACCTGCCGCAGACGTTTCATGACACGACAATCGAGGAGCACGTTGGCATGAAAAGCGTCATCCACTTGTTGGGCTTATTCTGTTTGAAGCTTTATCCGATTCTCTTGGAGATGTTTGGGAAAGACAATCTCTGGAAGAACTTCAAGAATTGAAGGATGTCGCTATCAGGACGTACAAAACACCCGAGTTGCGAGCTACATTAACAACGCGCTGGATCAGATGTTTGATGTTTTCCATGTCATGATCGGAACCAGCTTCAACGTTGAGAAGTACTCGTTCTTCCACTCAAACCTCGATGGAATGAAGGGTGGGAAGTATATTCCCTTCGACTGGATGTGCACAGCGATGGGTGACAAGACGACCGTCCAGGATCTCCTGCTGATGAACTACCATGGGATGCGTTTCAGTCCGATTCTTTGAACACAGTGGGAGAACTATCACAGGCTGAACATGCAGGGGCTGACCATTCAGACCCGGATCCCATTAGCCGAGGCTACGGGAGAGCAACAGAAGAAAAAGAAGGATGGGTCGACGAAGCCGAACCTAAGGCTGCTCAACGGGGAGAAAGCTTAGACCCTCTTCGGCGGAACGGAAGAAGACGGGCGAACGTTCTGGGCACCGTGATGCTGGGCCCTCTTCCGGATCATTGGGCAAAAGCAGAGGTAAGGGCGACAAGGGCAAGCAGAAGGGGAAAGGCAAAGGGAAGGACACCAAGGGTAAAGGTTGTGCGCCTCCTTATGTGCGGGACCGCACCGACGTACGTGGCACGTACTGGTCGGGTTACCAGGGTGGATGGGATGAGTGCTGGTGAACACTTCGGGATCGTTTACCGACCCGAGAGTACCAGGGAAATCGGTACCGTTTAACGGCCCGAGAGTACCATTGCGTGCAATGTTCCTTTGCATATTCTTTTCCTTGCCTAAACACATATTCCAACTTCAAAGCAGATATTTGGACAACGGCAAAATGGACTTATTCGAGCGAATGCTCTATTTCGACCGGGCATGGGACGACCCTTGTTATTCCCATCCCTCACATAGGGCACGCTGCTGGGGAGTGAGAGCCCAAGGTTAAGGTTCTTTTTGGGCTGAGTGGGCGAAGAGCTGATGCGCTACTCTTCCACACCGACAACCGGGTTAGGCAGTGCCGATGTGTTTGCTCTGGGATACGGGGGCCGCCAGTGTTATTGCTTCTTCCCATGAGAATGATTTCATGATTTTGCCCATCTTTTCGGGCATCTCTATTCTGCACACGTACAAACACCCTTGCCGAGAGTTGGGCACATTTGCGGGGAAAACGTTACCGTTCAACGGAACGCTAGTACCCAGGGCTGCTCTTCTCCAGAGTGTCCGGATTCCGCAAGAATTCGTCTACTGCAGAATTGCAGTAAATTTTGAGCGTCTCACGACTCGAGATTTTGCAAGATAAAATAAATTCTACATATAGTGTAAACGAGCCAGTGCGTGATTGCTTGATGGTGGACCCAGGATGAAATTTCCCAACCACAATTTCAACGCCTCTGCGCAGATGCCTCAGAATGAGGCATACTGCGTGGGGGTGTGTGAATAGCTTGTGGGCCACCACTACAATCTTGAATCATTACACACACATTGCCATTTGGCTCCAGCAACGCATGTATCTTTTCACAATTACCATTGTGGACAGTTACTACAAAGACACTAGAGGACGATTGGCCCGAAAGCATTTTTCTCCAAGTGTTTCCCATCATGTGCTTCTCCAGCCGCGGAGACGCCCTTTTACATCGATGCAACAGCTTCTGCAAAGCAGGCTCGTGCAACTTGGCTCTATGTAACTTGACTCTATGTAAGTTGGCTCTGTGCAACTTGGCTCTGTGCCACTTGGCTCTGTGCAACTTGGCTCTATGTAACTTGGCTCTGTGCAACTTGGCTCTATGTAACTTAGCTCTATGTAACTTGGCTCTATGTAACTTGGCTCTATGTAACTTGGCTCTATGTAACTTGGCTCTATGTAACTTGGCTCTATGTAACTTGGCTCTATGCAACTTGGCTCTATGTAACTTGGCTCTATGTAACTTGGCTCGATGTAACTCGGCTCTATGCAACTTGGCTCTATGTAACTTGGCTCTGTGCAACTTGGCTCTGTGTAACTTGTCCAAGGGCTCCGCACGGAAGAAGACCCGCCCGAACCCGAACCCGAACCCGTGCTATACGCTTGTGCTTAAAGGCTGTGATTTTCCAGCCGGAGCTGCGGGAGCACGCTCCGCATACTACGTTTGTACTTAGAAGCTGCGATTTTCGAGCCGGAGCTGCCACGGACCAGGGGGGAATCGAGCCCGCGACCGTGGGATTGCGAAAGCAGGCGCGCAAACCACGAGACAACTTCCAAAGGCCGTTTCGCGAGCAAGAAAATCGCACGGCGCCACAGCGAGCGCTCCGACACGCACAATCTCCGCAGAGGGTTCGCCGAGACTAAGACAAATTCGCAACAGCGAGAGCGCTTCAACGCGCACGATCTCCGCGGAGGGTCGCGCGCGCACCGCAGAAATCGTAAAAAGTCCACAGTTTTTTAACCTCGACCACGCGCGTAAAAAGTCCCCAGTTTTTGAACCTCGACCACGCGAATCTCCGCAGAGGGTCGCGCGCGCATGTTAAGAATCGTAAAAAGTCCTCAGTTTTTGAACCTCGACCACGCGAATCTCCGCAGAGGGTCGCGCGCGCATGTGAAAAATCGTAAAAGTTCCGCAGTTTTTGACCTCGACCACGCGAATCTCCGCAGAGGGTTGCGCGCGCATGTTAAAAACCGTAAAAAGTCCGCATTAATTTTTAGCCTCGACCACGCGAATCTCCGCAGAGGGTCGCGCGCGGCTTGCAGAAATCGTAAAATGTCCCCAGTTTTTTAACATCGAGCCCCGGCGCAACAGAAACCTAAACTAACTTACATAGCCGCTTACGCCGAAGCTCTACGCGAGCTCTACCTAACCTTGGCTCTGTGCCACTTGGCTCTGTGTCACTTGGCTCTGTGCCACTTGGCTCTGTGCCACTTGGCTCTGTGCCACTTGGCTCTGTGCCACTTGGCTCTGTGCCACTTGGCTCTGTGCCACTTGGCTCTGTGTAACTTGGCTCTGTGCCACTTGGCTCTGTGCCACTTGGCTCTGTGCCACTTGGCTCTGTGTAACTTGGCTCTGTGCCACTTGGCTCTGTGCCACTTGGCTCTATGTAACTTAGCTCTATGTAACTTGGCTCTATGTAACTTGGCTTTATGTAACTTGGCTCTATGTAACTTGGCTCTATGTAACTTGGCTCTATGTAACTTGGCTCTGTGCAACTTGGCTCTATGTAACTTAGCTCTATGTAACTTGGCTCTATGTAACTTGGCTCTATGTAACTTGGCTCTGTGTAACTTGTCCCAGGGCTCCGCACGGAAGAACCCTTCGCGATGCTTTCGGGAAAAAAGATCGAGCTTACGGGCAGTGCGCTGATTCGAGGATATTCGAACCCTCGCACCCTTTCCAAGGGGCAACACAACCAGTGTTGTCGGGGTACCAAAGAAACCGCTTGGTTTCTCAGAGTATATGGGGCCATTCTGGCCCCGGCGCCTAGCCTTTGAGTCGTTGAATCTCCTCCCATGTCAAAGGAAGATTGGTAGGACTTCCGTGTTGACGGCGCTTTACAGCTGTCCTGCTTTGGTTCCAACGCCGTCACGCATGTTCTGAACTTGGTTGCTTTGTGGGTTGTACCCGTACCCTTTGACTTTTCGGAGAGTTGTTGTTTACGACGGTTAGCATCCACGTGTCCGGCCGCTTCGGCCACCGCCGGACTTCCCCAAGACCAAGGCGGAAGACTGGTCTTCGCTGTGAGCAATGATGACAACCCCGCGCGGGTGGATGTGCTGACCAACGGAGAGATCCGCTACGCCGGGGGAGCAAAGAACCACGAAGCTTGAACCAAGCAGCGCGCGTTTGCGCTTGCCTGTGTGTTTGTGCGCGTGCGTTCGGGAGTTGAAGTGTGTGTGGGTACTTTGTTTGTTTGTTTGTCTGTTTGTTTGTTTGTTTGTTTGTTGGTTTGTTTGCTTGTTTGTTTGTTTGTTTGTTTGTTTGTTTGTTTTGCTTGTTTGCTTGTTTGTTTGTTTGTTTGTTTGTTTGTTTGTTTGTTTGTTTGTGTGTGTGCGTCTTTGTGCGTGTTTGTGCGTGTTTGTGCGTGTGTTTGTGTGTGTCTCTGTGCGTGTGTTTGTGTGTGTGTCTCTGTGTGTGTGTGTCTCTGTGTGTGTGTGTGTCTCTGTGTGTGTGTGTGTCTCTGTGTGTGTGTGTGTGTGTTTGTGTTTGTGTTTGTGTTTGTGCTTGTGTTTGTGTGTGTGTGTGTGTGTGTGTGTGTGTGTGTGTGTGTGTGTGTGTGTGTGTGTGTGTGTGTGTGTGTGTGTGTGTGTGTGTGTGTGTGTGTGTGTGTGTGTGTGTGTGTGTGTGTGTGTGTGTGTGTGTGTGTGTGTGTGTTTGTGTGTGTGTGTGTTTGTGTGTGTTTGTGTGTGTGTGTGTGTTTGTGTGTGTTTGCGTTTGTGGTGTGTGTGTTTGTGTGTGTGTGGGTGTGTGTGCGGAGTGGCAGAATACCCTGTCACCACAATTGAGCGCAGGGGGCTTGAGGCTTCTCATCAGGACTCAGGCCAACGAAGACGCCTGATGAGAAGTGTGATGCAATCCGGGACGCTGGATTGTGCACCTGCAACGGTTGTGCAAAGTCCTTTTGGCCCGCTGTTTCTCTCGCTGTGTGTGCTTCATGTTGAACCTTGTAACGTTTTCGACACTAGAGGGAAACCGAGTGCATTGCGAGCCGAAACTTATGCATGAAGAACCTTATCCAAGCCGAGACTTACCAGTTGTACTCGAAAGATTAGCACCCTCCATCTGGAGTTTAAGTGTGTACACCCCATTCGTGGGGAATCCTCGGGTGTACCCATCGTGTGACCCCGGGCCGGCTCTGTCGGAAAATTTGACCTCAACGTGCTTATCATAGATCAGCGGAATTTCACATTTAACCAGGAACGAGGTTTCACTAAAGGGAAGACAGCCACCTCTTCATAGCTACGTTTCACCACGCTGGCTGCCGCTGCTTTCATGAGCTGCCGTTGATTGTGGCTTGTCGTTTGTATCTTTCCTCAAGGATGAGCTTTATCATGTTCGAACGTCTTGTTGTTTTGTCATGTCGCGTCGGGATGATCGTGACAGATCCAGAACTCGGCGCAGACGGGATCGGAGTCCTTCCCCTCAGCCTCGCAAAGCACGCCGACGTGAACACAATGACAATCAGGTCTCGGAGGGCATGGATTGGAACAACTTGGTATCCTGGCAACACAATTCGGGCTACAACTCCAACAACACCTTTCCAGTGATGCCAGGCAATTCTCAATCGAATCCAAACCCTACGCAGCAATTTCATCATTCACCGGTCAACTACATGATGCCAGTTCCTCCGGAGCCCACGCCAGCGAAGTTCATGACGTCCGTGATGCCACCACCGGTTACTTCTCCCCAAGCTTCACCATCGCCTGGACACCCAACTGCGCTGCCAGTTTGACCTCAGAAAGCATGGCTCACTCCACCGGTTGACTGGACACCTGGTGATGGCATGCTAGACATCAACCAGCTCTACTCCTTTAGCCTGCCCATGACGGTTGCCAGCACCCCGCACAACAATCTACGTGACATGTCTGGCATGGACATCCGGGACGTTCGCCTGGTACAGGTCATTCACGGGGGCATCACCAACTGGCTACTGCGACCATTTGCTCACGGCAGATTCGTGACGTGGGAAGGCTTTCGCACTTGCACCGAGGCCCTACTTTGGAGTACCTGTTCCAAACTACTACGACGATCACAGTCGGTCAACCTGCTTACTTTGGAAAAGGACCTTGCCAACTCGCTGGGGCTCAACCTTGACGACTTCAACCAGTGCATCAAGGTTCACGACCACTTGGCCAACCTGGTGCTTCAGTTTCTTCAGCAACACCACGCGACTCTCACGCCCTCTACCCAAGCAGAAGACATGGTCAAGAAGTTCAATGATCTAAATCGAGCTCATGAGTTGCTCCAGGCTCAGTATTCGGCATCGCTACGCGCTTCGTCTTCCCCTACGGTGCCAACCCAGAAAGATGATGCAGAGTTGGTTACACCACCACCGGCCAACCACACACAATCTTCGACACCGACCAGCTCCCTACCTACGGTCAGCGCAGCGGCCCTCGATGGCAAGTCGTTTGATGGCGCGGTGCAACCTCGGATCATCCAGTCTCTTCACGGGCTTTCTTCACCGCCTTCCAAGCCGGCGGCGTCACAATTGCTCACCATGCACAGCACGCCAGAAGACGTCATCAAGCACTACACATGGACCAGAGCCACGCTTGTATCTCAAGCAATCGCCCACTACCACTACATTGGCGTCATTGATCAAGTGGGCCAATCACCCATCCCGTCTCAACGGCAACAAGTTCTTGGAATCCATGTCGACCCAGCTCTTTCAGGCGCGCCAACGCATCCCAAAAGGAGACGCACCTACGTTTGCGGCGGTGGCAGCTCTGTGGGGACTGGGGCCTGGCTACATCACCAAGCTCACTGACAAAGCGTTGTGTCACCTCATCGTGACTGCCCGTTACTCACAGGGTGAGCAGTTACCTTTGCTTACTTATGAGCCCGGAGTGGCAGTTGTGTCATGATTGATAAACGGTTCAAAACTTGTCCGTCCTCTTCTAGCTCTGCACTTGTTTGATGAAGTGCTTGTCTTTGCTTGCGTTGTGAATTGCTTGGTGCTCATTGCTTCTTGCATTTATGTCGCCGCCACATTGTAGTTTTCATTGGTTGCATTTCCACCATGTTGGCTGAGCTTCGCCGCTGTGAAATCTATGATGATGTTGCACAATGGCATTCCTTAGATACTTTTCTGCACTCGTTGACAATGTTCTCTACGTGCTGGCAATACTGCTTTCCTGGACTTCCACCACCGTCGATACCAATAGATGAATATGAGTCAATTGAGCGACTACCTCGGCTGGGTCTCATCCTGGAAGTGCTAGTTGTGGTTCGGATCGCACTTCAGATTCCGACACACTCCATGTCGCGGTCCTACCACACTGTGGCCAACAGGTATGAGCTTCATAGATGCCGGAGCACTGCCTATCTGTTGATCAGTTTTTTGCAGCGTCTCATTTCTCAAGACTACGGGTACATCCCGCCGTTCTTCGAGGTTCTTCACTTCTACAAGACGTCTCGTTTGCGGATATAAGACACCTTCGATCACTACGGACACGCTTCCCGGACCTCTATGACTTCATTCAGGATCCAGGTCACCATCAACAGCCATGCGTCTACATCAGACTTTCTCCATGGCACAGTCCCCACTACGTTGGAGCAACAGATCAGGATGTTCTTCGACGAGAACACTCGCGCAGTCGCAAATTTCTACAACTACTTCGGGGACACCATGCCTTCTTCGAACCTGCACTTCACTACTGGAAGCGATCCAACACCTACTGGCTTTTCTGTGCCATTCCGGTTGAGATCAAACTTCCCATTTCCTCGGTTTGGGTTCAGGAAAGCAAGTGGCAATACTTGCTACGTCCGCATTTGAATGCCCCCTGGGTACACAGACTCCTTCGGAAAATTGGCTTCCGTGAGCATCTGGTTGACTTTCGGCGTCATTCGTTGTCATCTCCTACCTCACTCTCGCTACACAAGCGCTTCCGGCGACGCCTACATCCGGATCTTCATCGGCAATTACGACCCGAAATGTTGGATGACATTCAAGCACATTACTCCACTCTTTATCAACTGGGGTCCAACACAGGTGCGTCGTTTCAGACTATGCGCGATTTGTTGTCGGCGGCTTTTCCACCCACTCAGCTCTACTACTTCCTACGACTCTCCGTCTTCGTCAACGAGCCTTTTCGTTCCAAGGCACAGAAGCTCCTCGCCCAGGTTATGCGTAAACGACAACTTCAGTCACCAAGCACTTTGACACAACTACTTCTCCCACCTCTACATGTACCAAATTGGAAGGCTCAGCTTGGCACATGGTTGCAACGTTGGGTTGCATCGCATCGTGATTTGTTTCCCTCCTTATTTCTTCCAAAGATCCGTGTGGTGGAAACTCGCAGTGCTACCTTGGGGGACAGGATCTACAACTACCGACTCCTGACATGTCTTTCCCGTGTCGCTGTTCAGACATTGATGACTGCCACCTGCATCGTGCACATGATCATGTCGTAATGGTAGATGAGTTCTCGCGCATTAATGCGGACATCGACATTGACATCATTCATGACTGCGTCCATGAAGGATCAGTATTTTGGCGATGTTGACATGCTTCATCAGCGTTTCACCACACAGCTTCGCAAACTAGCCCGCCGCTGGCATGTACATGGATCCAGTCTCCTCACTGATCTGCGTCCTGTTCTGACTCAGTTGATTGATGCACATCGCTCCAACCTTCAAGACCACGCTCACTGGACATCCGAATCACTACAGCGTACCATGGTTTCTCTGTCCTCGTGGGTTGTAATCCCAGCGGATCATTTTCCCTCTCGTGCACATGTGATTTGTCCTTCGTTGTTTGCCATACTGATGCACAAGACATTTTGCTCGGGAGAGGTCTTTTCGCTGTGCCGTGAGTCTGCAGCATCTTTTCGCTCAGAAGTGGTCACTACGATACCTCCTCTCCTGCAACAGCGCTACGCGTGGGGACTTCGACTCCAAGCGCCGCTGCCCACGGCCCGCATCCTTCCCAAGCCGACCAAGGACTGGCAGAAAGCAAGACCGATTATTTCTTTCTTTCGCACGTGGGCAGCACCCTTCCTCACGGTCTTCGGCGCCCTCATATTTGAGCTCACCAAGGTCACCTTTCCAGACATACCAGGTCAGCTTTCGGTTCAGGAGCTTGTCCAGCAGCTTTGGGA